GAGGTACAGAAGGTGTGTTCATTTCTTTGGAATAATTTTTTTACATAGCGATCCAAACAAAAATATAAATATACAGGAAGATGTAAAATTTCGCGGGCTTCCCGAATATGTCGTTACTTTTTAAAAAGTTTTTAAATATGTAGGTTTCAGCGCCTCAGATAAAATGTCGTTTAAACCAACAGTAGACGCAGTAATAGATAAAATTCGAAAATCTTATTATAAATTAAAATGGCTATCCAAGGGCGATGCGGTTTCTATTAAACTACGACGACAGTGTTTATTCGCTTATTCTTTTCCCTTCTTCTCTGGTATTTTTCCTATCTACCCCTTTTAACCGAAGACTTACGTCGAACTGTTAAATCGGGTATTTAGAGTAGGGCTGATGATAGTTCATAATTGTCTACTTGTCGAAGCAGAGGAAATTTTCGAGTTTTGCAAGGAAGATCAGCTGAAGAATTACATAGTTAGATTCCTTGAAAGAAGACTGAGGCGAAGCCATGACTCGGACCTCAGTGCATAACCTATCTTCGAGGATGTTTTTTATTGGGACGAATACCATCCTGCTAAGCTACTGGGAGTAGGCAACCATTTCTCCTTCAAGAGAGTTAATAGATAAAGAATCAGTCATGTGTCGGTACTGGCAACCTGAATAGACTTCGTTAAAGAAAGAATTTAATATATTAATTTATTGAGTGTGTGGTGAGAAGATGACAGGGTAGATTTGTTGCGGACGTGATTTCTGGTCTTCCAGTATGTCTAGTATAATATTGTGTGTTTTTTCCTTTTTTGGGATAGGTGCGACAAAAGTTTACGACTAATATGCTGCCTTTTTACTTTTTCATTTTTTTTCTTTTATCCCCTCATTGTTTAAGTGTATAATTGGGTATATGTATGTTAAAGAAATTTACTTTGATTTGCTGTAAATTTTGGTATGGTATATCTGTTAATCATTCTTACTCTTTTTTGTAACAGCCTATGGGCTTATCAGTATATGGAAAGCCAAAAAAATTCATACAATCTTTTGATTCACGATGGCTGTCTCTTTAAAATTGGTACTGCTATTCTATACAATCAATTTTGTGAAAACGATTACACTTTCACCAATGATAAATATATCTACAGCTGATGCAATTATTAATATTGATAAAGCATTTATTGAATATTCGTCGAAACTTGAAGAAGAAAATGTTCACTCACTCATACCTCTTGATGGCCTATGCTTTGCGTCATCGTCAACGAATGTGTATTAGTTCACCACATTTACCACACATTGGAATTTGCGTGTATATTACCTTCTCGTAACACCGTCACTACCTTACCTCCATATGAAAGTGATCAAGTTTTCTCCATGAAAAGGTTTTTGGTTATAGTCTATTTAATGGTGATATCATAAAAATGTTACGTTTCGGTTTTTGGTGGAATCTTTGGAAAATCAACGGATTTTTGGACATATTTTGTGCCGATTTCAGATTTCTAGGCGATCAGAAATGTTGAAAAAATGATTCTGAATCGAAAACAGTAACTTTTTGGGAAATTTTTTCTCATGCAAATATTCACAGGAAGGAAACCTCCTTCCAAAATTTAACTTTTTATTGAAAACCAGGGTGTTTTTTGCATAATTTATGGTGAAGTTTAGAAATAAAAATGCTATTTATCGCTAAAACCATAGAGGACAAACAAACAGAAATAGTTTCCTATCCAAATTTTCATTGGACATTATAATTTTCATTTTATTCCACAATGTATAATATCGCCATTTCAAGGTCTTCTTAAAACATTAATCAGCGCGAAATTTTCTATCGAGTGGTGCGAGAAAAACCAAAAATTAAATTTCATTGAAAGTTTGAATTATGTGCACGTTACGTACACTCTAACAATTTCTGACCATGTGACTAATCCAAACCAAGCATTTGGACTTATAAAAAATGCTTTCTCATCTATGAGGGTCACCTCGCTGATGTGAAAACTGAACTTCCTGCTTCATTCAGTGACTTTTCCTTCCCACTTATGTAAAAACTTGCATATAATAGATGTGCTTCTTACCAAATTCAAATAAGATTAAAAGAGAGTTGAATGACGCATATAGAGCTACTTGGCAGAAGTGGACACATATGAGCTTCATTAAAAAATATTTGTGAGAGACACGGTTCATACAACATACAATTAAACACTGCAAGTCACTTTAGAAATCTCGACTGTTCCTCAAAATTCACCGAATAATCAGCGCTTTCAGTTAGTATTTGTTAAAGAAGAAAGACCTAGTCAGTGTCTTTGATTTTGTTCTGTAATTATAACTGCTGCATATATTTGAAAAGCGTTGAACAAACAACACAAAAAAGTAAAACAAAATGCTGAACAAAAAAGTACGAGAAAATGCTGAATGTTCCGGATAATTATCTTTCGAAAGTACAGTTTCGTTTATTCATTTCTTACAGCTACTACCACATTTATCATCATGTTTATGAGCATCGCTACCGCTACCACTTGAACTACCCTGTTGACCTGATGATCCACCAGTATGTTGCTGACCTGAAGGCAAAAAACAATTAGAACAACGATTCAATCAAGAACCATTCACTCACCTGCACCACCTTGTCCTAAATTTATGTGTTGGGATTGGCCACTAGTGCCACTTTGACCAGAAGATCCGCCTGTGCCAGATGACGAACCATGTGTGTCAGAAACATTCTTCATGGTGCCACCTTGTGATTCAACATTCGATGGAGTCGACATTGTTTTATGTTATTTAATAAGATGCAGAATATATGTGTTTTGAGAGAATTTGAAAATGTTGATGTGTGAATGGTAGTTCTATTTATATTCACATGAAAGAATAAAAGAGAAGAAATTAAAGAACGAAATAAACCTTCTGCACATTTATCTCTTTTCTCTCTCTCTCCAAGGAGCAGTGCGTACGGCACGAGATGCATGTATGTGGTGGAGAAGTCACGTTTCTGCAAAAGACGAAGGAAAGAGAAAAAGCAATATTTAGTTTTGTTCTCTAACAAAATTGAACTGTAACAGTCACATGCATAGACACGTTTTTACTTTTTACAAATATGTTACTTGTTTAAAAAGGAAAATTAGCATGTGCAGAAAAAGAAAGAACGTAAAAACATTTTTAACCTTGGAATATATTTTGGTTCTTTAACTTCTCATTTCTTTTCTCTACGCATTTAATGTGTAGAAACGATAATAATGTCATTTGGTATAAATGAGTTGAAGAACGCGTTGTATACGAGGTACCGTCGGTTCCTTAATTTATCCAGCTGTTAAAATTCGAGCTGTACCCTTCAAAAACAAATTGAACAGTAACTTCATCTCAAGCTTTTGAATCGAAAGTGTATAGAATGAATATCAGTAAAAAATGGGGGCACCCACGGACATCTACTGAGAAGCTCAATTATGCTCAAGTTTTTATTTGCAATTAACCTTTTACTCATTGAATATAAGAGTGACGCGTTTTTGTTGATGTTTGTAGTCTTTATTCATGAGCAAGAATTCCTCTTTTACTGCTAATAGATCAGGAATGAAATTGTTTGAATGTTTTCTGTTATCTTGTTTATTAATATGAGAAATGCATACGAAATGAGTGTTTAGAGTTAGAAAATCTTTCGAAAGCCACGTCGTAGCTGAAGAACTTCCTGTACCAGCAGTGGCGTAACCAGGATTTTTAGACTGTTGGGCCATTTTCCACAGAGTTGAAAAAATCGTTGAGCCTAGGTGGGCCGAACGTTGCTGCACGGACAGGAAATTTTTTCTACTATTGCTAGTTGATACTGTCATTTTTCGTCTTTCTTGTCACCGTATCTCAAGAGTGTGCATCCTTTTGTACTGACAAATCTTTTTATTCAACCATCTAAATATTTTTATAAAGTCTGGTAGTGTTCTAAGCATAAGAAATGAAACATGCATCACCAAAAATGAAGCAAAGAAAGGTAAATAATAAGAAAGATAAATAATAACCAACATTGAAATGATTTGCTTCAGGAACAGGATTAACAACTTCCACTTCAATATCCACATCTTTCAAAGTTTTACTAAACTGCTCTGATGCTGCATCATTATCAGCAGTTGTCACCGTTGATAAATTATCTCGTGTTTTTTTAGCAGAAAACCTGTAGTTTACAATAGACAACTTTTACGTTTTTCACCTGACATTGTGTATATCGCACAAAAGTTATGTGAAGATAACGTTAGAGATTATAAGAAAAGCTACACAATAACGTCTCATACATAAAACGGCATATTGAATTAAAGTGAAGACAAGTATAGGTCTATATATATATACATCTACACCACATCTAGTGCTTTTCTTTTTCTTTCTTTCTTTCTTATTCGAAACTTTCTTTTCAATTCGAATAAAACTAGTCCCTTTTCTTTTGATTTTCTTGCGCCGAAGCAGGAAAGAAAACTAAAAGCACTAGATCTAGATATATATGTACAAGTATGTTTCTTTCTTCACTTTTAAAATATGTTGACATGATAATTTTACTTGTTCCGGACCGCTGATACAAGATTCGCAGCATGATAGTTTAGTCTATTTCACAAAACGTCATGAGTACTCATAGCACAAGTTGTAAACATAGTTAGTACAAAATAGCTCGCAGATAAGTTCTGCTGTGCACTCACATATACTGAAATAGATCAGAACAATGAGAAGCACTAACATAGAGTTAAAATGAGTTCGAACGATGGAGGATATGTTCGCATGTAGAACTTTAAAAATAACAATACAAGAAGAAAATCAACAGTTTAGCAGAGACCGTAAATCAAATTTAAACAGGCATAAGTTTGATGCAGTTGTTAGGGGCTCAGTTAGTACTGTATTCCAATCAACCGCAGTCTGCTGAAAGAAAGATGATTTTACAGTTTCAAATACAGTAAAAGGTACCGTGACGTAGGGAGAATGGGGCCTATTACGTTTCGATGATCTAGTGGAAGAAAAAGTAATCAAATTAGAAGAACTAAGTAATGAGTAGTTGTAGAGTAAACGATAGAAATGAACCAAACGAAAATCATCAGTCGACTGCAAGCAACTTTGATTAACAGGCGTCAACAATCTTAGCGCAGTTTTCCTTGTTGTTTGCAGCTGCTCGTAACTCGTCGACCGAGGGCGGCGTGTTACTGTTGGTGAGTTTGCCGAACGATGCCGGATATAATAGGCGTGGTTTGGCCTGTTTGTAGTGGCTTTCTTTGGGCGTATCGAGGACGTATTTGTTAATCAACTTGTCTTTTTCTCTTCGCAAACAATGGCCAACGTATCTGAGTTGCCGCCGTCGGATCTGTAAAACTAGGGGTCGATTCCAACTGTTTTTAGATTGTTTTATTTGATACCTTGTCCAAGCGTTTGATGTTGAGCATGGCTCTGTAGCAGCTGGTGACGTAGCTGTTGAGGTTTTGTTCGAGCTTACTTAGCTCAGGTGATGATCCAGCTCTCGCAGTCGTAGAGAAGTATTGAGAGACATGATGCTTGAAATATATTTGTTTTGAGATGGTTCGGTATGGTTTTCGAGCGGAATATGTCCGTCATTTTCCCGACGGTGCCCCAAGCTAGTGCGTTGCGAAGGCTGACATCGCTCTCACTTGACAGGACCATGGAACCTAGATATTTAAAGTTTGTTACCCATTCGATCTTCTGTCCTTCTAATTCGATGTTGACGTTTGCGTGCTTCTGGTTCCTGAGTGCGTCTGTTTTCTTTCCAAACGAGATTTTACATAATTATTAATTGTACATATTCTACTAATTCGTAAAAATAACGGCGAATTGAGGTGAGAACTACTTCTTCTTACTTTTCTTAACCTTAGAGAAATGTATCGTGTCCTTGACATCAGTTCGTCAAGGATATCTGAAAAATTTCATAAATAGA